AGAAACTGATTGACAATGGCTTCATTAGGGAATCCGTGTATCCAAAGTGGGTCTCTAACCCAGTTCTGGTGAAAAAGCACAGCGGGAAGTGGAGAGTATATATTGATTTCTCGAATTTAAATCAAGCATGTCCAAAGGACAGCTTCCCACTCCCTAGGATAGACCAACTTATAGATTCAACTGCTGGACATAAGCTCTTCAGCTTCATGGACACCTATTCTGGATACAACCAAATCCCCATATTACCACCGGATGAAGACCACACTTCTTTCATCACGGACAAATGACTCCATTGCTACAAGGCTATGCCCTTCGGATTAAATAATGTTGGGGCAACGTACCAGAGGCTGGTTAACAAAATGTTTGCCGACCTCATCGGCAAATCCATGGAAGTGTATGTGGACGACATGCTGGTGAAAAGCCAGAAATCAACAGACCACATTGCCCACCTGGATTAGGCTTTTCAGATCCTGTGAAAGTATCGAATGAAGCTCAATCCTTTAAATCGCGCTTTTAGGGTATCATCTGGCAAGTTCCTTGGCTACATAGTTAATCAAAGAGACATCGACGCGAACCCTGAAAAGGTCAAAACTTTGATTGAAATAAGGTCACCCCAAAAGCCAAATGAAGTTCAAAGCCTCACTGGGAGAGCAACAGCTCTAAATCGCTTCATATCTAAGGCGATAGACAAATGCCTCACTTTCTTTAGAGTTCTTAAGGGAGAACAAGTTCCAATGGACAGAAGAATGTGAGATGGCCCTGCAGAAATTAAAGAAGCATCTAGGATAGGCGCCTCTTCTTTCCAAACCGACAGACCATGAGGTATTGCACCTATATTTGGCGGTAACCTCCGAGACGATAAGCTCAGTTCTGATAAGGGAAGAAAACAACCATCAGCTACGAGTTTACTATGTCAGCAAAGCGCTCATCGCCACTGAAACACGATATCTTGACATGCAAAAGCTGTCATTCTCCCTAATAATAGCCTCGAAGAAACTGAGGCCCTATTTTCAGGCTCATAGCATACACGTGTTAACCAATTACCCACTCAAACAAGTGTTTCAAAAGCCTGACGCTTCGGGAAGACTGTTTAAATGGGTTGTGGAGCTAGGACACTAGTTATAAACCAAGGACGACTATCAAAGGGCAAGTCCTAGCTGATATTGTAGCATAATTCACCCCCACGCCAAATAACGAAGAAGAAATGGAACCCACCGAACCTCAGATATGGAGACTCTCTGTGGATGGATCTTCTGGAGAGACATGTTCAGGGATAGGAATGATATTGGTCAGCCCAGAAGGGCACAAACTTACTTGTGCAGTAAGGTTCGACTTTAAGGCAACCAATAATGCAGCTGAGTACGAGGCTCTTCTAGCTGGCCTCCAACTGGCGAAGGAATTACAAGTAAAAAGGCTTATAATCAGCAGTGACTCCCAATTGGTGGTCAGCCAAGTCCATTGAAACTTCTCTGCTAGGGACACATCTATGGCAGCCTACCTAAAGTTGGTAATGAGCTTCGTCCCTTCATTCGAAAGGTTGAAACTGATGTAAATATCGAGGTGGGTCTTCCGTCCCCAGGAGGATACACTTCAACGAGATAGGTAATGACGAACCAAGAAGATGTGGACTAGATCTCCTTGAAGAAAGTAAAGATGATTCCCAAATCAAAATGACCATGTACCAGAGGAAAATGACCTGGTATTACAATGTCAAGGTAAAGAAGAGATCCTTTCGGGTAAACGATCTGGTGCTTCGAAGAGTTTTCTTGTCCTCTAAAGAGCCAGGGGTAGGAGCCTTGGGACCTAATTGGGAAGGGCCCTATCGTATCAAAAGAGAAGTTCAACCTGGAACCTACTGTGGATCAAAGACGTGGATGGGAAGGTTCGGCCTCATACATGGAATGTTGAACACTTGCGAATGTATTACGAGTGAATGTTAACCACGGCTAGGGGTCTTTCTCAGTCCTTGTAAATAAATAAAAACCTTTTCTATAAATGAGTTTTCGAAATGCAAGGAAGCGCTGGCGTCTCGGAAGAGAGGTTGACATTCCCAAACAGGGATCACCTCGCTTGGATTCCGAGGCAAACACACATGCCTTCCGTTAACAGCCAAATGTCAAGGAAGAAACCTTTGCATAAATGAACCATCGACCATACAAGGAAGCGTTGGCGCCTCAGAAGAAAGGTTGACATTCCCAAACAGGGATCACCTCGCTTGGATTCCGAGGCAAACACACATACATTCCTTTGATTACTCATTTAATGCGGCAGTTGCAGCATGCACGGTGAATTGTGCCATCATGATTACCTTTTTTTTTTGAAACAGCCAACGTCATCAAATTATTGAAACGCCATCACCGAGAACTTCTCGTATCTCTAAACAAATCATTATTCAAATAACACTCTTCACTATCAATCTGAGACTGTTTTGTCAACGGTACACTTCTAACCTCTGAAAGGAAAACACTATGAACTAGAAACAGACCTCGCCAGGTGAATCACTTCAGAAGATGCTGGTAGAAAGGTCTACAAAGATTAGATCATCTTTCCTTCAATAAATTACATGACATTTGAAAGTCCATGCATTACATGAATAACCATGCATAGACTTGGGGGACTATTGTTACCCCCTAAAATCTGGAGCTCCAAGTCAGCACTCTACATGGACTGCCACGTGCACAGCATAGTCAAGGACAACGGAGGATGCCACTGTCCGAAGTAATGCGAGTACCGAAGCTATATTGGTCCGATATTCCCTTCAGCCCAAATAACGAAGGTTTGCTTAAAGCGATGCAAAGGCTCCTTATGTCTGAGGCACTAAAGCACCGAAGCTCAACTGCATCTGATGTCCATAAGCCAGAAACTGACCTCAACAGATGCTGATGCCGACGCTGCCTCCCAACAGATTCGAAGATCTCATAGAACTGATTGATGGGACATCTTTAATAAAGTGTCTGTAGCTTTAATGTGTCAGTATGTCAGCCTATTACTAGCACGGCTGACCATTTGTCAAACAAGATATGATGAATGGACGGCGATGTGAGTCTTTGGTCTAGGAGATGTCGCCACGTGGATCTGATCCCACGGTCCCCATGTTGGCTAGATAGTATAAATAGCCTTCTCTGTACTAAAAAAGGGTTGGGGCGATCAATAGAGAAAATAACATCCTTATATGCTTTGCTTTGTCTTTATACAATATATTCTCATATCTATCCTTCCATATATTTTATTACAAAACGAGCGATTTAGCTAAGGAAAACTAATCGAGCACGTGTTGATAGCGCGAGTGCTGTCCAAATCCAATCGTCGGAGCCTAAACAATTCTCTCTCGCCGCAAAGTGTCTCCCACGTTCATTACAGTGAAACTACCATTCTCATTCCTGTAGAAACGTGTCGAATCAGCACCGACGTGGTAAGAGTAGACCCGTCATATGTTAAGTTCATTTTTTAGGGTCAACATCTCTAATACCATTGTTAGGAATTTATTTATCATGCACAGCGGAAAATAAATCAAATTTCAATTTTCATGTTTTGTATTTAGATAAAAACTGTGTTTAGAATAATACCTTTGATGAATTCTGCAAACTCATTGCTGATTCTCGAACTCCAATGATCACGATCTGCAATCCAAGTTGTCCAATTGTCCAACCTCTAATGATGATCCACATAGAGAACAAGAATGACGACTAGGGTTTTCTTTTCTTGCGCTAGCAAGAATAATGAATTAATTCATGCAGTTTTCAAACCCTAAACAGTCTATTAATATAAACTCAAGCGGACTTGGCTCTTCTCTTAAATTTAACCCGATCCAATATTTTAATTAATCAAATTAATTAAATCTGATACATGAATTAATACGGGTCTATTAATAAGCAACTCAATTAATTAATTATCCAACACTTGTCAATTAATTAATTGGTAAATTTCATTCTTGCGATTCTCTCTTGTGTATGACACATTAGGTTTCCGATCACGATATCTAACAACGTGAATTATTATTTTTGATCTAATCAAAATCGATAAATTAAAAACTTTTAATTTATCACTAATTCACATTCGTCGTCTCAGATTGACATCTAGCAATGTTACGGGCAATACATGTGACGAAAAATGTTATGTGATGTAACAAAACCAAATTTATTCGTTTACCGTGAAACTATAATCATTTCGTCAATATGATCCGATCAATTATGAGATATGGATATGTCAATCTCAATTATCGATCATATCTTTTATCTCACTGTTAGGTCGATATAAGTCGAAAACTCATTTTCAACTTATAAGTTCACCTTGACCAAAGATTTCATTATCAACTTAACTGGATAAAATGTAGATCATAATCTCTTACTATCTAAGAGTGACGAATCATCTATCGATCATACACACACTTAATATGATTCTTGACATACACGAACGAAATTGTATTAACGATCA